CATGGAGAAGATAAAATGGCCAGTACAAGTAGTTTCAATGGTTGAGGATGCCTCTTCAAATTAAGGCCCCTTTTCATGCAGCTCCCCTGTGTAAGTAAGACTTTTTTTTTTTTTTTTATGCTGGTTTGGTATGGGATTTGTTAGATTTATCCCTTTTTTGGTGTGGGATTTGTTTATTTTGAGTTTAGTGGATAGATTTTGGGATTTGAAGTTTGGTTTTGGGAGGTTGTTGGAGGTTGTGTGGAGTAAATTTTTAGGGTAATTATGAGGGGTTACTAATTTTCACATATCATTGGATGGGATGGTGTGTGAGATTTGTGGGGTTTGAGAATTTTTAATTGCCTCATTAACAACCTAATCATTCAAAGCATTTTGGAGTAGACCATGTTCAATGTTTTCTTCCTATAATTTTAAGGTTTGACATTAATAGGAATTGTGAGTTGGCTAAAATTAGCATTATGGTATTAGACCTATTAGTAATTATTATTGTTGTTGTTCAACACAGGGGAGAAAGAATTGAGTGTGCCCTATTTAATGGGTAACGTTACAGACTTACAGCTGTATTTTTTTTTTTCAGAGGAGCAGGATAAATAATTCTACTCCACTATCAATCAAGAGGCGCTTAGGTGTTCTGTAACTTCTTCCTGTCCATCCCTTCATCCAATGCATCATCATGCATGGCATCCAAATAAACCATTGAATTTTGACCCTAATGTTTTTTCATTTTTCTCAGATATTAATCCAGTTGAAATATGTTTGGATAGCAGATTATTTGAAATAATTACTGTAGTATTTTTTGTGATGTGATGTGATGTATGTGAGATAAAAAGATAATTGTGAAGATAAAAAGATGTATTGAAAATTGTATTTGTGATGTAAACAAATAATTTTTAACCATTATTTGGCTATCCAAACATAATATGTCTTTTTTTTTTGTCTGTTTTCGGTTGAAGGAAGAATAATCCTAGTAATTATATGTAAAAGTTTCAAAAATTTCCCATCAAATTAAACAATGAAACATAACTAGAATCGATCGTCTCTCAAACACGAAAATAAAAATTAAAAAAAATGAGGGGAAATAGAACTAGGATTTGAAGGCAATGACATTTAAAAAAAAATTGGTGATATATAATGCTTTTCATGTCCCATATTATCTAAGTTGATTGCGATAAGAAAATCTGAGATATGATCCTTATGCAACGACCGATTTTGATAATGTCACCCTGATTCTCGTAACTATAATAGTTACATTAATGATAAAATGTGCCATAATTATTTTTTTTATCATTCATGATTGAGAGACCAACTCCATTAGAACTTCATAGCCAAACATCTTAAGATACAACGCAGTAATTCATTCTAGAAAAGCAAAACCATAAGAAACCATCATTTATGAAAAGTTGAAAATATAAAGAATTAGTTCTCGAATTCAGTGAAAAGAATCAAGTATTGCACATGATAACTGGATACTAATAATACTATAGTAAATCACAGCTAGTCATAAGTCATTTCATGGCCAAGAATAACATGTGCATGTATGTGCCTATTATATTCTATACTATATGGCTCGACATTATATAGCATGTGTGTATAAGTGGATATTATTATAGTGTGTATGTATATATATGTATGTGCGCGTGTTTTAGCGTGTATTCACGTACAACAAAAGTTTAGGGTTTAAGTTTATATCTATAACATGTTTTAAGGTGAGAGTCGAATATCAAGTACAAGACGCTCAACCACTAACTTTATTTCCCATTTATCTATAATTGAAAAAGAAATCAAATTTGTAACGCAGTCATATATATATATTATATATATATACATATATGTAGTACATAACAATAATTACACAATAACACATTTTGGAATTCATTTTTGCAATGGCCAGCAATATGTGAAGAGGGCAACTGCCGATGTTTTTATATTTTTGTCTTTTCGTTTTACAAAGGGCTAGTAAGCCAGCAATATGTGTTACTTATGGATTCAATTTTCTTGCTTCCTTCTTTTTCACCTTACTAAAGGAGAAAAGAAAATCTACACCAAGTCTATGAGTATAAGTTGGTGTAAAATGACAATAATATCAAGCTTAATATGTAATATATATCACGGTCATAACTCGGTAAAAAGAAGCATAAAATTTGGTTCTTTTGATAAGAACAAAAGAATGAAGGTTAATAATGATTTCATCTTTTCATATATCATTTTCAGCCAAGATTCATCCTACCTATTACTATTGCCTTAGAAGGAGGCAAAAGGGAAAATTTTCCATGTTTTGGCTGTTTGATGAAACTAGAACAAGCCCAACTAACTAGTATAAAGTTAAAAAAAAAAGCACTACTATCTTCTGTTACAGATTATTTCGAGCATTATTTGAGTGCAAAAAAAGGGCAACAATTAGTTGGAAGGTTAATTTTCAAGATACTTCAATTTTGTATTGACTTTCAGTGCTCGAAGCAAACCCCCATTTCTCTTATATATCCTCATGATCATATCCATTAGAAACACTACTTCAAATTTTTAGATCCCATAAGAATAATGACATTAAAGGGTAGATGATTATGGTAGGTTACAAGAAATAATAAAAGAAAAACACAAATTAAGCAAAAATCTGTTGCATTACGTTGACTGATCATCCATCCTTATAACTTCTGCATGTCATTTACGTTAGGGCGAATATATAGTACAACTCAAAACTAAGAACCGAAACATGCACGCACGGGAACTTTCACTAGTGTTTCGTAAAATATATAAATCTCTAAATACGTTTCTTCAAGCATTGCTACAAGCAAAAACTCATACTCAGGCTGCAAAAGAAAACGTCATTTTTCTTAAAGATAACGTTATTTTACTCTAGTATCATGTTTTACTCCAAAAAAGCTACACATTATCCTGCTATTCTCAAATAAAAATACTACAAATAGCAGCTGATGAGTACGAGGGAGAAGAGAAGTATAATGGATTGGAACTAACAAATCAATGGAAAGAATTGCATGCTTTCACTATTATCTTTCTTGAGAATCAAAACAAAGAAAGGCTTTTTCTTTTTCTGGCTTGGAATATTTTGATGAGGAATATAATTCTCATAAGAAGCGGACTTTCGACAGTACTGTTGATATGGACAGCAAGACTTTTGATCTTTTCCCTCTGCATGATTGATAATTAATATGTTTTCTTCCTTTCCACCGGCTTGCTGCATTCATTTTTTCTTTCTCTGGAAACCCGAAATTTTGGACTTGGGTTTTTCCTTCAAAACATGGCCCTTATCTTCTTTCTCTGCATTTGATCAGTTTGAGGTGGGGGTGGGTCGGGTGAGATTTGGAGTGAATTAATGGTAGAGAGGAAAGGAGACAAAATCATGTGAGAGTTGGGGTTGTCACACTTTAGTGTGTGGTAATACTTGAAAGGAAGGCAAAAGCCCCCTTTCAAGAACTCTTTTATTTCTAGTGTCTTATGTCCCAATTTTGGTTAGGCTACTGCTAGCATCATGTGATGAATGTGTACGTGCAGATTATTGGTTAGAAAAACAGCACTAGACTGCTAGACTTGACCAAACTAGCTAGTGCTAGTTCCCTTCAGCTCAAAGCTCATTGTCACCTTGTAAGTAAAATGGAGTGATCTCCAAGATACTCTAAAAAAAGTTTTGCCACCCAAATTCCTCACTAGCTACCATACGCCTTATAATAATTCTATTGTTGTCATCTATGATTATTAATTAGGACTAAAAGTCCAAGCAGTAAAGCATCTCCTTGGTCCTCTGCAGTATGTAATATAGGATTGAGATCCTCTGCAGTCAATGACTATATGGGGTGTTTTGAAATTGGACTATATTTGTCATGTCAGTGTTATATCACTTTGTTTGTTTTATTTTTGTGATATTGGTGACGGTAGAAACCACACCTTTGACGTATTAATATCTATCCTTAGCTCCTACTACGTAAATCATAGCAAATGCTGAGTATAAAACAATAGAAATCTGCTTGTGCTCTTGTACTAAAATAGTAGGATAAATTCCTAGAGCAGGAACTGACAGTTTGTTGGGTATCCTATTTTACAAGAAAAGTTAAATCTGCGGTCGATGTGCAAAACACTAGAAAAATATGAAATACTAACATGAATGAGACGGCCACCGTCTGCTACATGTGACTATCTGAAGCGGAAGGTAAGGGAACCATGCCTTTCCTAGCAGTTTCTTTTATAAGTCAGCATCATGTTCCCTGCTTTTCTACTTAATAAAACCCACGCAAGCAAGATTGATAGATAAATGAACTTTACAGATCTGAAAAGCATGAAGACAAGCTCATAGAAAAAGATGGATTTGTTGTTGTTATTGTCGGTTCCCAGATTTTCAGCTCCTCTTCAGGTTCCTAAATGCACATTGTCAAAAATTCCATAAACAATGTGAGAAAAGACTGGAACTTCTTGAAGCCAAATTCTGCACTCTTTGTTTTCTTCTGTTTGCTTGTTTTAAGGTGCAAACAAACTTATGACATAGTCATGGAAAGGTAAAAGAAAAGTCTGAAAGTTCAACAAGCGCAGGGGGCTTGGATGCCTACTTTAACCTACTTAACGTAAGGAAAATGAATTCTGCCTTCTCCGCGAAAGACTCTATGCATTTGATTAAAGCCAGCTAAGTTTGTCTGGTTTCCAGAAGGTATAGTTATTGCATTCAACCAGTATCACGGTCTGTCTTTGAAAGGACTCGGGGCTTCTCTTGCTGGCAAATGCATTCAAAGTCAATACTCTCAAGTTTCCTTGTCTAGCAGCCTGGCAGCTCACAAAGAGCCCATCATCAGCCTACCAAACTTTTTAAGAAGTTGCAGACTGATTGCCATGTAGCATGCTGCGGGAATCTACTTTCTTCCAACTGTTTTCTACACGGCTTTAACTCTATCTGCATGTCCCACGTTCTTTTTAGTGTCCATTCGTGCAAAATACAAAGTTTTCACTTTCCACCGCGCGAGACTCTGACCAAGTAAATATAATACGGATATCCAATGTGAAACTATCAATTTTAATGACTTTCATTCAAATGCAGAGCCAACAAAAAGGGATCTTTCCATGTAATAAGTTGCTAGAGATACACACGCGTTTACCAAGAATTTGAGTTAAACCAGTACACAGATTTTAATCTATCCATGGCTTCAGCAAAACAACTTGACTTCCTGACCCATGTTGAACACTCTCACTAAGATAAGGGGCAGCAAGCATCCAACATCTCCTGCACAAAGAGACTGGAAACTCCATTCTTGTAGCAGCCCTCTAAAATTGTTCACATTCTTTATGTGATGCTACATATCGTTTCAAAAAGTTTATTCAGTGCTTTGAGAACTTTTCAAGGACATCAAAGTAATCAGGGAAGGTTTTGCGTGTGCAGCCAGGATCCTTGATGGTTACAGGAACATCTGCACATGCCGCAAGAGAAAAAGCCATAGCCATTCTGTGATCATCATAAGTATCAATTGATGTAACATTTAACTTCTCTGGTGGAGTGATTATGCAGTAATCTGCCCTTCTTCAACTGTAGCCCCTAACTGAAATTGTAGGAAATGTATGGATGAGTGTTACAAGGAGAATTTTCGAGAAAAATGCAAGGCTTGTGAGATTGAAAAATAATGATGCATCACAAAATTAACCTTTCTAAGCTCTGTGCATATAGCAATCATCCGCTCAGTTTCCTTCACTCTCCAGCTAGCCACTGAGAACATAAATTAAGTCAGACGAAATATCTCAGGGTGATGAAGAAATAGCAAAGGAAACAGACAGAGTATTAAAACAGAAAAGAAAAGCTAAAAGCAGATTATTGGATCATGCATACTGACGCGGAGCTAGGACTGGTAACCGATCCTAACCTCAAAAATCTATTGGATTCTAAACTCATGTACTGTTCAAGATAATCCAGTTCTCATAAGTTACAGACCAGATTACCATACGATCCAAACATTTTCACATTATGCTGTAGACAAAGAAAACTGAAATATCAATTTTCAAGGATGAATTCAAAGAGGTATCCTTAACACGACAATAAGTCCTATTTTAAACTTGCCGTACAGCATTAATCAAGGAATTCCTAGTTTTCTCAAAAGAATTCACTTTGCATAAAGTATTATATTATGGAATATGATTCCAAATTATTCATATTATATAGCTTATGAACACAAGAAACTAATGGCATTTTGCTTCTTGTTAACGAAAAGCCAATTATGTCCTGATCAGTGATCTAGAACTTCTGTTATTCCAATGAAATTTGAAACAGCTTTAATTAACTCTTATATTCGGTAAACCAGTAACATTCATACCATCTCTTATTGCAGTGGAACCATCCGCGAAAAGTGCAACTACAGCAAGAGTCATGGCAACATCTGGCATTTTGTTCATGTTGATATCAATGGCACGAAGGTGTTTTCCTCTGGAAGAATCCCTCCGCGGTCCTTTAACAATAACACTGTTTTCTGTCCAGGTGACTTCAGCACCCATTTGCTCAAGAACCTCAGCAAATTTCACGTCACCCTTTAGAAAGGAAAGAAACAAAAAGAAATGAGATGATGAATGCCATGCAATTTACGTGCACAAAACATTCAAAACCATGTTAGCAAGGTGATACTGCATAACCTATTTAAATCCAAGATACTTTAAGTTTGCAGCAACACAACATTCACTTCTCAATAAAAGACAAAAGTCAAGTTTTCACCATGGACATAACGCAGAAAGGGCCTTCTTGTCTGAATGACGTAATTATCTTCAGAACAAGAAAAAGAGAGATACAACATGCCAGCATGCATTTTACCTGTAAACTGCCAGTCCCACAACCTTCGACGGTAATGGTACCACCAGTAACAGCTGCACCAGCTAAGAAGTAACTGGCACTTGAGGCATCACCTTCAACATAAGCTTTTCCAGGAGACCTGACAAAATGATAATCTTTTTACTTGCTACACAACAAGCTACTAAAGTCCATTTTACTCAATACAAGTACACTTACTTGTATTTCTGACCCCCATGAACCAGGAATCTGTCCCAACTACCACTATGCTCTACAGTGACCCCAAACCGTTCCATCAGTTTCAAAGTCATTTCAACATAAGGAACAGAAATGAGTTTATCAATAATTTCAATCTCAACATCTCCTAGAGCCAGTGGAGCTGCCATGAGTAAAGCAGTTAGGTATTGACTACTGATAGATCCAGAGAGCTTCACCTGCCAGTGATGATCAAAATACATGTTCATCGTCAATCCAAGTAACCTATTTCAAAATATAGTAAGATAAGAAAAAGAGAGCCCAGCCCCACGAGTCCCATGCCTTTCTTGGTAGGCCATGCCATTTGTGAGAAGTCTTTCTTCATTCAAAGGCAGAGAAGCAGAATTGCAAGGATGAAATGAATAGTGATTCCCAGTACTAAACCCAAGAACCCAATAAAGAAATTTTACCATTGTCCCATCCAATGCTGTGCATATATGAAATTGTATTTCTCATTCACAGATTCATGTTTGTTTAGACTAATCACCCACACTTTGGTCCTGCTTTTGATTTTGTTACTAAGAGGGGAAGAAAATCAGGACCAAATGCTTGGCAGTTCCTGGTGGAGCTTATTGAGTGCTGAACCCAATAAGAAAGTGTAAAATAGGTGGTCTTTGCAAAAATGTTTTGCAAAAATATACCCCTTGCATCTTGGTCACTTTTACAATTTCATTTATAAGCAGTCTCATTACTTTGAATCTCTCATTTTCTATACTTAATTGTCTAATTAAGTATCCGTTTCTTGAAGCAGGACTGAAGCTAATCCAAGCTTCACAACAAATTGAAAGAAGAAAACAGATTGGCGAAATGACATTGGGCCGGAGCCTCGACAAGGGGAGGTGATAGTGGATATTCTGCTTGTCTTGGGGTGTACAGTAGCACCTGATCAACCCCCAGAAATTAATAAAATAATTACATTAGCCCAGAATCCAAAAACACAAAAACAAAAGAGTATGGTGAACATCATTGTCTGCCCTGCTAACAAGAGGAATGTCTCAGAAGTGGAGAATGACAAGTCAGCTGCAATGTCTACACAGCTCTTCTTTTCTCATGCATGCGTATATTAATAAAGCATGGATTGTCCTCTTTGCTTTTCTTTTAAATCAAGGAATAAGCAATTAAGCATGTTTAGACAATGTTAAACTCACCTTTCCCCAGGAAGGCCTCCCTTTCCCACTACACGAACTGGGGGGCAATTTGTACCAAGAAAACAATCAACATCAGAACCAAGCTGCTTAAGACCAGAGACCAGATCACCAATTGGCCTCTCCCTCATTCTAGGAACTCCATCAAGTACATAGCTGAAACATAAAATTCCAGTTTGAATTTAACTTCACTAATTTAAAAAACAAAGTAACTGTCCCGAAAATGCAATCATGGCGAGCAATCACTAATTTCTGAGGAAAATTTTAAACCAATTTGCAGCATACATATTAATATATAAAAGTTGGGTGACATTTGTAACTAGAAAAATAAGGATATGGACCTTGAATTCCCACCAGCAGCAGCAACTGCAGCAGTCAATGGGCGCATAGCTGTTCCAGCATTTCCCAGGAATAGTTGAATTTCACCTTTAGATTCTTTACCAACAGGAAATAGACCACCACAACCTTCTACAATTGCTTGCTGTACAGCGCGATTATCTTCCACATGCAGACCCAGTGTCTTTAAAGCACCGAGCATGTAATGGATATCATCACTGTCCAACAAGTTATCAACAACAGTTCTTCCCTGGGAAACAAGCAGAACGGAAATCCAATAAGTTCTTGAGATTGAGGATTATTGTGATTCTTTAACAGAAATACTACTTTGTAAAAGAACTAAACCAAAAAGCGATTAGAAACATTTTATGTATGCGTTGCTATTGTAAACAATAGCCAATCCTGGGGACGAAATTATTATATAAGAGCATTCTGTTAGGATAGCGAAACTATAACATAATGTAGACTACAGTTAAGTTGCATCCATCAGAAGAGCAATCTACAGAATTATCAATATCTTATGGTCTGTTTTGAGGTGGAAAACTTCTCAATTCTGAATGAAACTACGAACTGTAGAACCAGCATAAACATGCCACAATTTGGTCTCTTCTTGCAGGCAAAAGATTACAGGAGCACCTTTTCAAATACAAGAAAATGTCATTTCTTTCTTGCTTTTCCATATTCTTTTGTTTTATTTTCTTCTGAATGGGTGGAGAGGGAGAATAGAGTGAGGGGCGGACTTAAACACATATTGTAGAAAATCAGTTCTAACAACTTTTAGTGACCAATTTTTTATAGAACTTCTTTCCTTATAGAAACAAAGTAAAAGACAGATAAAGTCTAGTTAATTTCGTATAAGAACAACTAAAGACAAAACATGAAGAACCCATTAAATTTTTATCCAATAACTGCAAATTTAGAGACAGAAGTGCATGAAAATGCTGCAACTCAAGTTTCCAATCTCAGATAATAGACTAAACAAATATACATATACATATACATATACATATATATATATATATTAAAAGTTGTGCTTGCATCTATATAGCACTCTTACAACAATTATGAACTTCCAAAAGATTGCTCTCAAGAGTCTTTCAGCTCTCGTAAAGTCACCATGACTAGAATCCTGAATCATCTCCAACACACTTGGCAAAACTAGAAAAGTCAAGTGCAAAAGGTGCTTAACATTCCCTCTTATCTTTTCAGTCATTAATCTGTAATAAAAGCAAGTGAACACTGAACAAGATTTGGTTCTTTTGAATATACGCTCCAAATTACTTGCATCGTCTGACTGAAAGTGCTTTAACTACAGTCCTTGAACCTAACCAGTCTCCATTAGCCAACTTTTGTAAAATACAGCATTCTACTGCATGAAGTCTTTCAAACACACGTACTCCACATCCCACAATGAACTGAATCAAAACTCCAGGTTAATTTGAAAAAATATATAATTCCTATAGAGGAAAGAAGTCAAAATCAACAATTCATCAAGAGTATAATGATTAAACAGAAATGTATAGCACAAAGAAGAAGAAAAAGTCACTCATAGTAGCTTTTACAATCATGGTTCGCAGTCGCGTCTCGTCTCGGTCTCGACCGAGACTGAGAGACTGAGACTGAGACCGAGACCGAGACCGAGACGACTCGGCCGAATCGTCACCGTCTCTCGATCCCTACCGATACAATATCGTGACGAAACGATACCGAAATACTTGACTCGTCGAGAAATCGACCGAGCCGCTATCGCAACGAATTGACTCGACCAAGTCATATCGAGTTACTCTGAATTATCCCGAATCAAGACAAAAAATTAATCAAACGAGAAATCAGCCGAGTCATGCCGCGACGGATTGACTTGGCTGTTTCTTTTGCTAATTTTTAATTATTTTTATTTAGTATACCTTTTTATATTATTAATAATTTTAAAATATTAAATACTTTAAAATTTACGTCTCACCGAGACGGTGATCGATATGCCGAGATCGATGTGGAACGTTTCGAGCCGCAACACCGACCGCAACTGTGGCTTTGAACCATGTTTACAATGCTTAGCAGAAGGGTCGTATAACTGCACGATTCTTAAATATTATAGATTACCTCAGCCAGGGCAGCAAGGAGAAGAATGCGATTGGAGAGGGATTTTGAGCCAGGCAGCTTGACGGTGCCAGATATCTCTTTAATAGGCTGAAGCACAATCTCCGGCACAGTAGACGGCTTCTCAGCCGCGGCCACTGAAACAAAAACCTTCAAAGGAGACCTACCTCTAGTCAACATCGAATCTCTACTCAAAACCCGTGAATATTTTGGTGAACTTTTCGCAATTCTTGACCCAAGTATTAAAGAATGTGGTGAAGAATACTGGTTTTGGAGTTTCGAGACTTTAGGTGTAGTGAATTGAGGAGCTTGGATTGCTTGAGCCATTTCTCTTTTTGCCGCAGAATAGAGGGGACAAGGATGAGAAGTAATCCCTCTTTCTTTCTTTATGTTCTTTCAATTTAAGCTCTGATGCAGCTACCTACCGGAAATGGGGATGGAGGAGGCGTTAGGTAGGCAGGGCAGGGAAGGGAAGTTGGATTGGAAGACTAACTTGGGGGGAGTTTGGTTTGGTGGGGATCCATAACAATAGTGAGAAAATAAGCAATTCGGCAAGAATGGTCCCATGACAATAATGATCCCATAGATTTGACTGTCACCAACCACTTCTGTCCGTTAAACAAGCACATGGACTATCGCTGGAGTGGTGCGGGTGCCTAATGGTTTGCCATAGCTTAAGAGCATTACAATTTGAGTCACTTCCAACTTCAAGAACCTTTTGCATTCCCCCAACTACCCCTTAATCCCACGCCACGCCCGGGAGGAAAGAAAGAGAGAGAGAGAGAGAGAGAGAGAATCTTTCTGTTTCTTTTTATTTTTTTGTCATTTTGATTATACGAAAATAGCTGTCAATCATATACATTCATTCAACTTCTGGTTTAACAATTCGGCCAATGTTTGCTTCGAGATAATCAATTATGAATTAATGTTACTGACAGTATATACGGTTTTGTTATTGAATGTACGTCACTTAATTTCAAATTAAATTTGAATATCACTTTTTTTACATACGTGGCATATGTTAAAAAAATAATAAATTATCGGCTGTCATTTTTATCATTATTAGATGCATGTCACTTAATTTTAAATTGAATTTTAATATCATTTTGTACATATGGGACACATATTAAAAAATGATAGCGTAAAGATAAACTCAATCAATCGTAGTCCAAGTTTAAGTACTTTAAGATTTTCTTTTCGCTCTTCCAAACACTTTAAGAATGTATTAGGAATATGTAATTAATAATATAAAAGTTATTAGTAATATGTTAATTAATATGCTTTTAAAGTCACATATTTGTTTATAAGCATAAATTATAACATTATTGATTAATACATTAATAATATGATATTAGTAGGCATGAAATATATTTTTAATTAAAATATGAAGTTCGATCATTTTGATCGGTGATCTGGAATTCAAGAATCGTATTTCAATATTCATTCCCAAATTATTTTACCAAATTTTAAGATTAGACCTTAAGCAATTTTTTCGAATTCTGCTTTACCAATATCCAATTTTCGATCTAAATTGAATCGGTCATTCAATTCTTTGGAAGTGTGAACCCTAAGTTAAAGGGCTGACAAAGCAAATCCTTTGTCTTCGTTAACAAAAAAAAAAAAAAAAAAAGTGAAATGGGTGCTGAATGGGACCTAATGAGGTGAGCAATGAGAGAAAGAACAAGCAAGAATCAAATTCAACAACTTGCTGAAGGTGCCAAGCAAGCTTGCTCGAATGGTTTGTTTGGATTGTAAGTTGTTTGGGATATTTTTACTGTAATACTTTTTGTAACGTGATGTACGTGAGATAAAAACGTAATTGGAAAAATAAAGCAGCAGAACATAACAGGGATGGAGACTCGTCAACATTGGAGTTTCTGACAAAAATCTACTACAGCAAATCCAACCTATGGATGCATGGACAACAACACATTAATACTCCTTGTTTTACAAATACTCCTTTTGCCTAGAAATAGTGAATAGAAATGATCTAAATGTTCAGTTTAGTACCTTAATTATCAAGATATAAAATGGATTAATCCCAATCTTTTGTGCTAATAGCACATTGGATTGTATCGAGTCATCATTTATTTTGTAAATACTTTTGTTTCAAGTAATACAAGCGAGTTATTTTGGTGCTTGTCTAAAACTTTACTATTGAAGTTTTTAAAAAAAATTTTAAAATATATAAATTTTTAAATATTTTAAAATATATAGCTTAAAATTTTTTAAAAATTTCGAGGCTACTGTAACTGAGCAAACGAAATTTTTAAAAAACTTGTAGCAGACAAACTTGGTAAAAAACTCAACTGCCAAACAGAGGTTCGACAAAAAAAAAGGGCTTAACAACTGCGCGGTGCATGGTTGGGCCATGAACCAGGTTCACTCGACCTTTTACCAACCCAACTCCTCCTCCCTTAAAGGCTTAAACCCTAACAGTCCTTGAGTTACTGCTTTCCTTTCCACGACTCCATCTCTCCCTCTCTCTTGTCTCTCCCATGGGAGTCTGAGCGTAAAACTTCAATCCCTCACTTTCCCAAATCCCTCCCGGATCAAAGTCAAAACCTTAAAAATCGATTCGAAGAATGGCGTATCTTTCAGCTTCGAAACCATCTCATTTCCATCCCAGAAACCTCTCAAATGTCTCCACCCCACTTTCGCTAAAATCCCTCTTCTTCTTCTGCTCATCCCCAGGTGGTAACCCCGATCAGGAAACAGCGGCCATTTCACCAACTGAATCCACTGGGCCAGAAACACGGAATGTTGATCCTGCGGCAACGCCATCCAGAAGCCCAAGAGGTAAGCATCGTCGTCTTCAGAAAAACCCAGAAAAATTAGAAGATATTATCTGTAGAATGATGGCTAATCGTGCTTGGACTACCCGTTTACAGAATTCTATTCGCAATTTGGTTCCTAGCTTTGATCATGAACTTGTTTATAATGTACTTCATGGTGCGAAAAACTCTGAGCACGCGCTCCAGTTCTTCAGATGGGTGGAAAGGGCTGGACTTTTTCAGCATACTAGAGAAACCCATTTGAAAATTATTGAGATTTTAGGCCGAGCTTCGAAGCTCAATCACGCCAGGTGTATTCTGTTGGATCTGCCCACAAAAGGGGGTCGAGTGGGATGAGGATATGTGGGTTCTGTTGATTGAGAGCTATGGTAGCGCGGGCATTGTGCAGGAGAGTGTGCAGCTGTTTCAAAAAATGGAGGAGTTGGGGGTTCAGAGGACGATAAAAACGTATGATGCTTTGTTTAAGGTTATAATGCGCAGAGGGCGGTATGGGATGGCCAAGAGGTACTTTAATAAGATGTTGAAGGAGGGGATTGAGCCCACAAGGCATACCTATAACCTTATGATTTGGGGGTTTTTCCTTTCTTCGAAAGTGGAAAGTGCGGTAAGGTTCTTTGAGGAGATGAAAAGTAGGGAAATTTCACCTGATGTTGTCACTTATAATACCATGATCAATGGGTATTGTCGTGTTAAAAACATGGAGGAGGCTGAGAAGTATTTCGTGGAGATGAAGGGGAGGAATTTAGAGCCATCAGTGATAACTTACACGACTTTGATTAAGGGTTTTGTTTCTGCTGGGGGAGTTGACAATGCATTGAGATTTCTGGAAGAAATGAAGAAATTTGGGATTAAGCCAAATGCTATTACGTACTCAACCTTGTTGCCAGGGCTGTGTGATGCAGACAAGATGTCGGAAGCTGATAAGATTTTGAAGGAGATGGTCGAAAGACATATTGCTCCAAATGATGACTCAATCTTCACGAGACTGCTGTCTGGACAGTGCAAGGCAGGTCATTTGGATGCGGCTGCTGATGTGCTCAAAGCAATGATTCGCTTGAGTATTCCAACAGAGGCTGGGCATTATGGTATCCTGATAGAGAATTTCTGTAAGGCTGGTGCGTATCAACGAGCTGTTCAATTGTTGGATAAGCTTATAGAGAAGGAAATCATCTTAGACCACAGACTACTTTGCAAATGGAGCCTAGTGCTTACAATCCTGTCATTGAGCATCTATGCAACAATGGACAGACAAGAAAAGCTGAGATGCTTTTGCGACAGTTGATGAAAATGGGTGTCCAGGATCCAGTTGCCTTCAACTATCTGATTCGTGGCCATTCAAAAGAAGGTACTCCTGAGTCAGCTTCTGAACTTTTGACAATCATGGTTAGGAGGAAGGTTGTTTCAGAAGCAAGTGCTCACGTATCACTTATCGAAAGTTACTTGACCAAGGGTGACCCTGCTGATGCTAAATCAGCTTTGGATACTATGATTGAAAATGGTCATCTGCCAGACTCGTCTCTATATAGGTCAGTGATGGAGAGCTTGTTTGCAGATGGAAGAGTTCAAACAGCAAGCAGGGTGATGATGACTATGCTGGAGAAGGGTGTGAAAGAGCACATGGATTTGATTGCTAAAATCTTGGAGGCTCTCCTTCTGAGGGGCCATGTTGAGGAAGCCCTGGGAAGAATTGAATTGCTTATGCAAAATGGACTTGCACCTAACTTTGATAATCTTCTGTCCATTCTCTGTGAGAAAGGGAAGACAATTGCTGCTTTGAAGTTGTTAGATCATTGTTTACAGAGAGATTATAGTGTTGACTTCTCCAGCTATGATAAAGTTTTGGATGGCCTTTTAGCTGCTGGAAAAACTCTTAATGCATATTCAATTCTGTGCAAGATAACGGAGAAAGGAGGAGTTACAGACAAAAATAGCTATGAAGACTTAATCAAGACCCTTAATGCAGAGGGAAACACTAAGCAAGCAGATATTCTTTCAAGAATGATCATGGCCTCCAATAGCAAGAAAGGAAAGAAACAAGCGTCTATGGCATAGTTGGCCTCTTTATTCTGGACTCTTTGAATTTCAGGGTTACAGCTTTTGATTTTAGCTTACTTTAATGGGATATTATGGGTTTAGCTAAGTGGCAGAATAGTTCAGGTCGAATTGCATGTCTTTTTTAATCTTAAATAGCAGCAGAATCTAATTGTTTTCTGTAGAAATTATGAAAGTCTACCTCTTCAGAATAAATAAAAGAAGGAAATATGCTGCTGAGGTTTTCATAAAAGCATATAACCTTGCATTCATATTATTGACACTTTGACACTGTACTGTATACATGAAAGCCAAATTTTTGCATTTAATTATCTGGTTATGGCTGTTGAGAAATGAGAACTGCTAGAGCTTTGCAGGATCATCTCTCATTGAAGGATTTCTCATTCCGATTTACATGGAAAGCATCCGTCTTGATATCTAAGAGGCTCTCTGCGTAGGAACAGCCTCTGGGTACATTGTGCTTCAGCATATGACACTAATATTCCAGCTCGTGGAAATATAATTACATTGTTGTCTCTGTGTTTTGGTTTTTGATAAGGTCAACTGTTTCCTATTTTCTTAACTGCACCTTGATGATGAGTGAAGTATGGCTTATCTTGCTTTGTTTTCTACCTTTGTTACTGTTGCCTTGATAAGGATTAAAATTGGATTGGGCAAAGTAATTTCTGCTTTTGTTGATTAAAGATAGGATCATCCATCGTGTGGTATGTCA